TCTTCTTTGGGAACCAAAGGTGCAACAGCAGAAAATAATTCAAGTGCCACTTTGAATTCCAACTCTTTGATCTTGTTCTTGATCATATCTCTCAATTCCGGGCGATGCAGCTCAGCTTTTGCTGGAGCCGCTTTCGGCATAGCCGGGACGCAAAACTTTGGTCTATCCTTTGGAACGACCTCCCATCGTACTACTGTGGGCTCACCTGAGGGGCTAGGGTTTATCCGAAGCTTTCTTGCAGTCGCCACTGCACTCTTTTTCTTCTTCGGACCCTTTGATGCTGAACTTGAAGCAGCACCTCCACTACCGGCAGCCATTTTCTCTGCCTCCTCCTCAACGAGCTTTTGCCTGTCCTTTGGACTAAGCATCTTCCAGAAATCTGACGGGATTGACTCTGGGCGCTTTGACCCTTTGTACGTCTTCACAAGACGTGTTCCGTCCCAATGATATCCGTCCGGGATCGGTTTTCCAGTTGGAGTGTACTTGATATCGGGAAAAATCGGTTCTTCGGCCGGCTGATCTTCACTGGCAAGTGCGTCAAGCACTGCCTCTGCTGACTTGTTAATTGCTTCTTCACTTGTTTCAACAGCTTCCTCGGTTTGCAATTCGGATTGAAACGGAATCGGACGAGGGTCAGCAATGACATTGTGTGCAAGACGGTCCGGCTTAGGCTCTTTGGCCTCTTTCAATGCACGGAGTGGGAAAATGAAACCTCCCGCGATGAGCTCAACTCGACGTGCTCGCTGCACTGTGATGCTGCCAGTTTCTGCATGATAATCCAATGCCTCCAACTTGGCAACAAGATACTCACCCTTCCACGCAAAACCAGGTTGAATGTGGTATCCCAAAAAGATTCCATCATTTGCTGTTGGTGATGTTTTTCCAGATGTGTTGTCAACCCTTTTTGGATTGTTCCAAAACAGTATCTTTGCACCGAAAGGAATCAAACTGACCTGGAAAATCTTCATCGAATCGAAGCTTCCATGGGGCATCATCTCCGTTGAGCTGTGGCGTGGCATTTACTGCCATGGAGAAATGCTGCATGGCCATTGGCCAGTACTGCAATGGAAGACCAGACTGCACAAGATTTGTGCGTGTGCCCTCAAGCATGTGTCGGATCTCCCTCTCCACGAAAGACTTTGAGCTATCCACATATTCTGTCGATGTTTGGTGTCTGTAACCCAACTCCCCAATGGTAGCAATAAGTTCTCTCGAATTGTCAGTGTAAACTGCTCCAACTTCATCTTTGTGCGATAAGAAGTGGTTAAAAGCGTTCACACATGATTCACTTGATTTGGTTTGACTCGGATAGACATGTCTGAACTGAGTGTGGATGTCTTTCATCGCCAATGCCACTGTTTCACCTTTGACGCCTTCTTCCACATTGGATTTGATGACAGTGTGGTCAGCGACGATGTGATCCCCAAAACTTTTCGTTTCCAATCTTTTCTGCCCTCCCTTCTTCTTTGCGGGCGGCGCCATCATGCGCGCCTTCTGGCAGATCTTGCAGAATGGATTCTTGGGGTAATGACAAAATTGGTGAGACTTGCTACATGCTTCTTGCTCAAGATCGGATGCCTTTCTAGACCTGATGTAGTCGGTTTCACTATCATGAGCTACTCCCTCATCCACACCTTCATCCTCGGCACCTTCTGCTTTTGCAGCAACCATTGCAAAAAGACGCAACAAATCACAATCTTTCTTGAACTGTCCACTGTTCAAAACACGACAAGAGCTATCGATGACTGGCACACGGCCGTCTACGTTTAACTCAATGACTCCCATGTCCGGACGAATGAAGTAAGGCCTACCATCAGCTGGCCAAACGAAACTATATCCTTGTTCCATACACCTGACCCCAACCGAAAGAACAGCAGGAGTTTCCTCAAGAATGTATGGGGAAAATGGCTGATGTAGGGCATCGACTTTTACGTCGGCCACCTCATCCGCACGAGTTGAACCGTTTGCTGTGGCAAGACTGATTGGGGTGTCGCTGACACGACGACTTGTCGCCTTTGCAGTCTTCAGCATACCCTCGCTGATCAGATCCTGTTCACTGCCTGTGTCAACCAACCAAACACATCCATCTTTTGATGCAGGGGTAGCAACAGTAGGCAAATGAGTATTGCTAACTTTGTTCTTGGGACCGATCAAAGCTCTACAGTGGTTGCATGAGGTTCCCCCTTCTTCGTCGTTACAACTGAATCGGCATTTCGGCTGCTTCTCACTGCCAAAGAGCTTCACGAGTTCCTGCAACTGTCGGGCCGAAACCTGAGCACGGTGAGCAATGAGTTTGTCGGGCTTTAGCACTGACTCTGAATCAGGGAACGTCTTCTCATAGATTCGGGGTCTATGCACTACCTTTCTTTGCTCACCTGCTGCAGGGACTTTGATGTATTCCACTTTTGATGAAAATACAACAGCTCTATGGCATTGATCCTTCATGACTTTTGTAACCTTTGGCAACCCCTTTCCCTTGGCTATGCATGCATATTTATAATGCATGGCGCAGCTTTTGCACTGGCCTTCTTCTTTGGTGCAGGGCTATTGGTACGTTTTGGAACCTTTGTGGGTGCGGCCGCGCTTTCATGTTTGTAAAAACATTTGTCACCACGACGACATTTGCCCTGTTGGAAGTAAGTGCAAGGGATCTTTGCCATCTCTTCCTTTGACTTTCTGTTTGGGGAAACACTTCTACCACCGCCCTTGCCCTTGCCCTTCTTTTTAGGGGTACCAGATCTTGAGGAATCCTTGACATGCTTATAGGGACAGTCTTTACCCTTCTCGCATTTGCCATCCGGAAACTTGTAGCAAATCTTATCCCCCTTTGCACTCTGGCTTCGACCGCGGGATCGTCCTCGATCACCTTTTCCTTTGCCGCGATCCTTGCCCCCCTGAGCGGGCGCAGCGGGCTGAGGCATTTCAGTCTGCTTGTTCTTTTCAACGATTCTGTTTCTGTTTGAACGGAGTCTTTCTCTATCCAAAAGATCACGAATGTTTCTCAACAAGAATGCATAAGACTTTTGTTCCGACTTTTCAGGAGCCCTGTCAAATGCTTGAATGTCATACTTCATCAATTGGCATCTTCGAATTTGTCGGAGTAAAATGTCTCTGAGAACCAAGTCATCTGGTGGGGTTTCCATACCGGCAATTGTGGCATCCCATCGGTTTAAAAACCTTCTAAGGTCCTCCACAGATTCTCCAGTGCGAACGACTCCAAGCAAGTCCTCAACACGATAGAGACTTCCGGCTTCCTCAGACGTCCTGAAGTAATCTTCAAACATCAAAAGGACTCTCCTACCTCTGACTTGGATCCCATTCTTTGACTTTTCATCTTTGAAATTGTGGATCTTTGTTGCTAAATCACCTTTGGCAGAGCGAGTTAACGCTGCCGACAATTTGGTGTCAAGTGTGATGAATTCCCAGGTTCCTGTAGCTTTTCCTCCAACTTATCCCTAGGGGTCTTGTTGTCAAAGACTTCATTGAGCTAGATCCAAGCCTCATCAGGTTTGTCGGAGCATGACTTAACTTCATCCCTGATGTGATTTCGCCAGTGACGATAGGCTTCTGGGGCAGGCATGTCGTTCAGCTTGATAGTCTCTGCCTCTTTGGCTCGGGGCTTTTCACCATCTGAATCCTTTGAAGTCAGTCTAGTGATGAGATCTAACAATTGCTGACCTGAAAGACCTAAGCCTGCATCAGCAGCTTTCTTGCCAATGTCGCTTGCTACAACTGTAGGACTGGGCACATTTGGTTCTTGGTTTGCATCATCATCCTGTCGTCTTTGCACGGGCAATGGGGGCAACTTTGGAGGTGCTGCTGATCCTGCGGGGGTAGTAGAGAACAGATTACTCAATCTTTCCTTGGCATCCATGGCTAGGCTGTCCATGCCTGTGTTAGGCCTGGTTTCTGCTCCAGCCTTCGTACCTACTGCTGATTTTGGAGTAAGGTACAAGCCTAGATTGTTCCCGCCTTGTCCATCATCGGGTTCGACGGCTTCACTGATCTTGACTTCCGGGGCGCTGTACTTGTTGAGCTTCTCCATCAAGTCCTCTACTTGTCCCTGTAGCTGATCGTTGAGTTCAGCAGCCTGATTTTCCTGCCTACTGCATTCCTCTCTCATCTCCTGGATTACAGCTTGTTCCTCCTTTTTGTAACCTTCCATGCCATGCTTTGCATGCTCCACTGTTTCGTCCACGATTCGTTTACAGTCTGCCTCGAGGCTACCTCTGAATTCAGAAAATCTTTGCTCATACTGGGCTGTGACTTGTGCTACCTTTTGGTTTGCTCTCTGTTCAGCTTCCAGTGCTACTGCATTTGCAGCGTTCTTGAGCTTTGCGTTTGCTTCGCTTAGTTCCTGTCTCAGTTTTGCGACCTCATGCTCAGTTGCCGTCTGGGACACTGTAGACTCTGACACTAGGTGCTCATGTCTACACTCAGCTTCTGCACGTTGATGGGCGATTTCACTAAGGCAAATTCCCTCAAACTCTTGGTACAGTTGCTGGACCTTTTGCTCCATGAGATGTGTGTGCCTCTCCTCTGCCTCTTGTCTGAAAGCATCAATGTTACCCTCGTTTATGTAGGTAAGATTGTTCTGTACAAACTGGAAGTACGCCTGGACGGGTTGTGTGAAGAAACCTTCATCGACCGACATGGGCGTGGGATTTTGTCCCAGCCGTCACGGGCTGAGATCCAGTTGCTGCAGTCGCCAACGAACCTGTAGCAGGGACGAGTGCTCCACCACCTGTAGCATCGTGAGTTTTGTCCATGGCTTTAGAGACTACGGCTGATAACCTGTATTTTCAGGTTTCAGCTGGGGTTAAGCTAGTTATACCCAAGTAGACTGATAAACCAACAAAAGACCGTTAAGCACCTGCTGCTCACACTTTTGTCTGAGCCGCAATAGCTATTGTCAATGCTATTATACATGTATGTTTTACATGGGATGCAAATACACATACATCTACTATCTCCATAGCTCCTACATCGGCGTCGCTGACCTCGTGGCTCAGAACCTCCAGGACGCCGCTCAGCACCTCGTTGTTGGGGCGGCGAATCTCTTTGCACCACGTCAGAAGCCTTCGGAGGAACCCCCAGGAGTCCAGACGTTCAAGTGGTGAGCTGGAGAATTGGCGGGATATTATTTATATATATGTGTGTGTGTTCATATAGATTTATGTATACATATACATAATACATATACATATATACGCATGTATCAACATGGGAAGATCATGGGAATATCATCAATTTTCAAAATCATATCAACATGCCATGGGAATATCCAACAATCATTGAAGAGTACAATCGGGAAAATCACGGGAATATCCACCTCCAATGGGATATATCATGGGATTATAATGGGATATATATATATATATGTGTATATGTGTGAGTTTCGTAACTTGCTGCTGCCGCATACACCTTCGATTGTTTCCTGTCAGGGGAAAGCACATTCATTATGTGCCTTTTGACTCGTGGCTCAAGGCCAATTTCAGCGAGATAGGGGAAAAATCTCGAGTGCCGCCATAGGATTGGTTGGAAGGTGAAGAGTGGACTCTTTTGGGATTTGGTTGGATAGATATACATTTTTGGTGTTGTGGACAACACTGTTGGAACGACTTTACTTTGGTTGAACATCAACTACTTTCTGGTGATCAAGGAGGACCTTGAACCATTCAGGTGGGTACCGTTATCAGTGGCGTTGCGATCTACGATCCAACGACACTGGTAGCGGAGCTAAGAGGCTCGTGCTACTTGCACGCAAAGCCGGCCCGCTAGTTTTGTGGCTTCTGGATAGTGAGCAATGCCTCCTAAAGAGTCTGCCTCAACTGATGGGAACGGTGACTCCCAGCAGGGTTCCAATTTTTGGAATTTGCTGCCCAGTTTTGACCCGAGTGAAGATGACATACGAGAGTTTTCACAGAAAGCCAGGTTCATCCACGGTGTCATGCCCGAGAAGGACAAGCCCAACTTAGCTCCCAGGTTAGCTATGTTGTGTAAAGGGACAGCTTGGTCCCAGGTGCGTCAGTTAGATCCGAAGAAGCTCACCAAGGCCGACTCAGGTGTTGAATACTTGTTGGCCGCTTTGTCAGCTTGGGAAGAAACATCAGAGATGAAAACGTATGAACTGTTTGAACGAGCACTCTACAAGGTAGTACAGAAGTCTGATGAGGCCTCCCATAGTTTCTCACTTCGCCTTCAAGCTGCATTCAATGAGATAGGTGATGATGTCACTGTCAAACAAATGCAAGCCTTCGTGATGTTGAGACAGTCAGGTTTGTCGTCTGAAGACAAAAAGAAAATCCTGACGATGACAGGTGGTAAGCTGGATCTGACCGCAGTTGACCAAGCCATGAGGTCGTTGTCCACACGTGTGTTGATGGGCCCTGGTGAAACCAAGAAAAAGATTTACCCAATCAATTTCACAGAGGTGGAAGAGCCACCTGCCCAATCTGATGAAAGCCTTCCGGTTCAGAGCACTTACGTTGCATACCATGAGGAAGAGGATGTTTTGACAACCGAGCATCTGGAATACCTAGTGTCTCAGGGAGATGAGGATGCCAACGTAGTGCAACAGTTTGAGCGTGATTTCGAAGAGATGCTGCAAGAGATTCCTGATATGCAACAAGCAATGGTCTCATACAATGAGGCTAGGCAGAGGATCAATGATCGCCGTCGTAGCCGAGGGTTTTGGCCCACTGGAAAAGGAAAAGGGAAAGGTGGGTTCAAAGATGGATCCCGGCCATACCGCAAAGGTGGTGGAAAGTCTGGAAAAGAAGAGTTGCTGGCTCGCATTGCGAAAACGCATTGCAAGCTTTGCGGTGCCCTTGGGCATTGGCGTGCAGAATGCCCTCAGAGGAAAGAAACCCGTGAGTCAGCCAACGTTGCCTTCTCCATGCCATCCGAAGCATCCGATGCCGAAGAGGAGACCAACCAAGTGGTCTTTGAAGCGTTGAGTGAACAGGAGTGCATCCGTTGTGAAACCTGTTTCGTTGCCTCATGCCACCGAAATTCAGTTTTGTGCAAACAAAATGTTGAAGACGTGAAAGCCTTTTGGGGTAAGAAACTGGATAAGCCGGGGTATAAGCGGGGTAATAAAGGGGTTATTGGGTATAATGGGGTAACAAAGAATTGTGGTCCGGAGAATGTTCTGAAACCAGAAGTGGTGACCACAGCACTCCACACCCATGCCGCCAGGAAGATGCATCCGAGACCAACCAATAGAGCCGATGGTTTTGTCAGCCAGAATCACTCAGATGCCATGCAAAGTCAAGGAATGGCCATACTGGACACAGGTGCCAGTCGCAGTGTGATCGGACAAGACCATGTCCCCGCGATGCTCCAAAAACTGCCAGCTAGTGTCCGTGACCAAGTCGTGGAAAAGCCCAGTAGAGTAGGATTCCGTTTTGGAAATAACCAAGTTGCATATAGCTACAAACAGCTGCGCATACCATTGGTCCACAAGAGAATCCGAATCTGGTTGCTAATTGAAGTAGTGCCGAAAGCCACACCTTTCCTGCTGTCTATTAAGACCATGAAGAGTTTAGGAGCCATGATAGACCTAGGACAAAATACATGTTTCCTCAAGACACTGCAAAGGTCACTGTATTTGAAAGAAAACAAGAATGGGTTGTTCATGATTGACATGTCCGATCTTTGTCAACCTGATGTCAAGTCCAATGCAGCAGCTTTTGTCGCATCAAGTGTCTGTGCCCCGCCTCCAGGTCTGGAAAGTGAGATTCCTGTCAGTCATGCCGACACGCCAGGAAGTGCTCGATGCTCTTCGCACAGTGGCAGAGGAAGTGTTAGCCAGTCTGAAGCTCCTGATGACCATTGTGTTCACCATGACCAGTGCGATCGACCCGAACCAGGAAGCCACGGAGCTCCAGATGAATCCGGTGAATCAGCTGATTCACGAAGTGGCCCAACAACGTCGGACAATCGATCAGTTGGGGAATCTGATTCAAGCTCAGTTCCAACAGAAGCCACCCACATGTCCAGGACCTACCGTGAGCCCGGTGAACCATGTTCCAGGATCAGAAGATTTCGAATGGGAAGCCGAGATGGTGCCATCACAAGGCCAAGCTGCATCAACGGTGCCAAATTCTTCCCAATCGATGTCTGCTGTGATGATGAATGTCAGAGTTCCCAACAATCAGCCTCCTCCAATGCCAGTGAGACAGCCCATGCCGCATGTGTCAATGACACCAAGTGCCCGACCACCAGCTGCAATGATGGGAAGCCCAGGATCGTCCTACGCAGCTTCCGAGATTGGAAGCCAATTGATGGTGACTCAAGCATCCCTCGAAAGCTGGGGAAACAAGATCGTGGGCTTTGGCAAAAAGCATCTGAGGTCTCGTTACGCCCATGTGTACGAGTCCGACCCAGGTTACATCAAGTGGATTCTGGCCAGAGCCGACAACCTTTCCGAGGATGTGGCAGATTTCGCAAGCTATGCTCGAGCTCGCAATCAACTGGAGCAATTGGCCAACAACCCGGTTCCATGAGAGGCAATTGGGAGGAATTTCAAGATTCTAGGATGTCACATAAATCTAGCTTCAAAGAAAGACAACTGTGGAATGAAATGCAACAGCCTGACTCAGAAAGTAGTTCTCACAAGTCAGAACAGTTGGACATCCTAGAAGTGTATGCGTTCCCGAACAGCATGTTGACCACCGTGGCGCAAGAACATGGTTTGCGAGCAAGGAGGTTTACATATGAGGATGGGGATTTATCAACACCTACTGGAAGAAGAGCTTTATTTCACATCATCAAGACACAGAGACCAAAACATATTTGGCTTGCACCGGAATGTGGTCCTTGGTGTGCCTGGAACCGTTTTAACTCCATGCGAAGCCTATCAAGTTTTGAACAAGTCATGCACCAACAACGTCTTGCCAAAGAACACCTGGTGTTGTGTAATGTGGTAGCTCAGATTCAGCATGATGAAGGTAGACACACCCATCTCGAAAGTCCCAAAACCTCCGGCGTTTGGAAGCAGCAGGAGATACAGCCGTTTTTGAAGCGTTCCATTCCGGCCCAGCTGGACCAATGTGCTTTTGGCCTGAGACATCCGAGTGAAAATCAGTTGATGAGAAAATCCACTCGCATACAAACCACCTCAGTTGAGATGTTTTCCGTTTTGGACTGCCGTGTTTGCAATCGTGAACATAGTCATAGTACCATAGCAGGAAGATGTCAGTGGAAGGGTCATAGCATTTCCGTGTCCAGGTTGCTTTCTATCCACGCAAGCTTGCGCTGACCATTGTCCGTGGAATCATGCAAACATCCCAAGGCCCCTATGAGGCGCCAATTTGCCATGTAGATGAAATAGAGCCACCTGCCAAAAGGGCACGTACCAACTCTGGTGAAGCCTCTGCACCACACGACACCACGAACGTGTGGAAACCAATGTTTGAATTTCTACAGAGAAAACTTCCCAAATCAGGTGTTGTCACTTGGGAAGACCCGCAAGATGAAGTCTTCCAGGAAATTCAGAAACTGTTTCCACATGAGAACATTGGTGCAGTCAAAGCAGGAAAAGGCCTAGATCGTCTTTTGTTGGGCGAAGAGGCTTGGAGAGATCAGCTGCCGAAAAGACGTAGCATAGTACAGAAAAGATTCACTCATGAAATAATTGACCTAGGACTTGAAGTTTGGAGTGAATTAACTCGGAAAAGGCCTTGTCGAAAAGAGGTGCCAAGCCACATCATGTTGTGTTTGTTTTCCAGAGATGACAGCCGACCTGATACACCTATAATGCCAGCAGCCGATCCCGCCAATGGATCAATTGAGACAATAAAAGCCGCTGAATCAACAGCCAGTCCACCAGTGCAGGTAGATGTGCCCAGCTGGACTCCTTTAAGTGCCACTGTTTCAGGCCCAAATTTCCTGAAACTTACTCGAGAGCAACAGTCCATGTTGCGCAAGATTCATAATAATCTAGGACACCCCACAGCCGAAAGACTGGCCCGACATCTAAAGGAATCCAAAGCACATGAACACCTGGTGGAAGGTGCTGCCGACTTTGTGTGTCCGTCATGCGCTGAGAGACACCCACCACAAAAGACTACTCCCGGCCAACTCAAAGACCCGAAGGATTTTAATGAAAGAATTCTTTTGGATGGTTTTGACTGGTGTAGTAAAAGGGGTATTCAAATCTATGTGTTCCATATCCTAGATGATGCTACCCGTTTCCATTTAGGTCAAAGGATAACCCGGGATACCCAAGCCTCCATCCGTACAACGAAACAGATGTGGATTCAATGGGCAGGATCCCCACAGGAAATACTACATGATCAAGGTGGAGAGTTTGTATCCCAGCCATGGAAAGATTTTTTGCAAGCCCACAGCATTCAGCCAGTGCTCACTGCCGCTCCGTGGCAACGTGGTCGTATCGAGAGACATGGAGGTGTGATCAAGGAAATGCTTGAAAGAATGGACCATGCACAGAACTTCACCAGTCTAGCTGAAATAGATGAGGCTCTTAACCAGTGTTTCCGAGCGAAAAATTCTATGATAGTGAATAACGGATATAGTCCAGAACAAGCTGTACTAGGTAAGGCCTCTAAACTTCCTGGGTCACTACTCTCAGACGAAGAATCAACTGCTCATCACATGTGCCTTTCACCCGACCCAGCATCCGAGCAGTTTAAGCGAAGTCTTGAATTGCGGACAGCCGCAAGAGCAGCTTTCTGGCATGCTGACAATCATGCTGCAATTCGCAGAGCAGCCCTTCATAGGTCACGAGGTGTGATACATGAATGGCTGTGTGGACAGTTGTGCATGTTTTGGGATAAACGAAAAGCCCCGAACATATTGGAGAAAGGACGATGGTGTGGTCCAGCACAGGTAGTTTGCCAGGAATCAAGAACAATCATATGGATCACTCACATGAATCGGTTGTTAAGATGTGCCCATGAAAATCTCAGACCAGTTTCCATGCGTGAATTTCAAAGACACTCCACTTTTACAACTTCAAATACCCAAGAAGAATTGAAACAAATGGCACAACGTTTACAGACACAGTTGAAAGAAAAGAGTGGCATGTTTCAATACTCCGATTTATCTGAGGTGAATCCTCCAACAGAAGAAGAGGCAAACGATGGCAATAGCGAACTTTCGACCTCTCGACAACCAGAGGAAGAACCAATCAGACGCCAACGAGGTGAGATCGAAATTCCTGACGAAACCATGCACGACCCTGCGGTCGAAACGCCTGTTCCAGACTCCCCGTTTTCTTCCAATAGTGAAGAAAGCCCTGAATCAATGGTTCCAAGCCCGAGCCTGGCACAATCTGCTCCTGACACTGCATCATTGGACACAGATCAGTCGGAAAATGAAACTCCGAGTAACATGGAACCTGTGTATAGTATAATGCTGTTATCATCGAGAAGAATACCGAGACGACAGACTGTGTTCATGACGATGGCGCTCTTTGGTCAATGCCCGACCCTTGCGAAGCAGCGTGTGTGTCTTTTGAGTTTGAAATGCCAAAACAACAATTCCATAAGTTCCTCAAATCTCCCAAAGAGCACCTGCCAGAGGTCAATGCCGCAGCCCGCAAGTTTGGGAAAGAACTTGTTTACAGTGACTTGACACCCCAAGAGAGAGAGAGGTTCAAGCAAGCCAAGTTGAAGGAATTGAATTGTTGGTTGGATACTCAAACGGTAAGAACCATAGTTCGGGATAAAATTCACCCCTCCAGAGTTTTAGCCTCTAGATGGATACTGACTTGGAAGGAAGATGAAAATAGCGAAGATGGAAAGAAACCAAAAGCACGACTTGTGGTAAAAGGTTTTCAGGACCCCGACATTGGGGAATTAGCATCCGATAGTCCCACTCTCACCCGAGATGGCAGGATGTTATTACTCCAGACAGCTGCCAGCCACAAATGGTGTATTGAAAGCTTTGACATCACTACTGCCTTTCTACGAGGGAAATCCGATGATCGTCAACTAGCAATGGAACCCCCAAAGGAGTTGAGAGAACTGCTTGGAATGGAAAAACATCAGATCTGCCTACTAGAAGGAAATGCTTATGGACGGGTAGATGCCCCTTTGTTATTCTATCGCGAATTTCGGAAATGCTTAGAAGAAGTAGGTTTCACCGCACATCCCTTGGACAATTGTTTGTACTTGTTAAGAGACCCCAAAGATCCAAAGATCCTCAATGGGATAGTGGGTACTCATGTGGATGACGGTTTGGGGGCAGGTAACCACAAATTTAGCTATGCCCTACAACAACTTCAGAAAAAGCTTCCTTTCGGCTCACATGAAAAACGCAAATTCCGTTTCACAGGACTTGAAATAGAACAGTTGCCGGATTTTTCTATCAAAGTTAGCCAAGAAAAATATGTCCAAAGAATAACTCCCATAGACATCCCTAAACTCCGTAGAGCAGAAGTTGATAGCCCTATCACTCCACAGGAGTTAAATAAACTAAGGGGGATTTGCGGGAGCCTACAATACGCCGCAGTGCATTCCCGGCCCGATGTGGCCGCAAAAGTTGCGCACCTGCAGAAGGGTATTACCAAGGCGACCGTGCAAACTCTGCTAGATGCAAATCGAGTACTCAAAGAAACCCAAGAGTTTGCCAACACCTCTGTGATCGTACGTCCGATCCCCATGACGGAGCTCTGTTTCGCAAGCTTTGGTGATGCAAGCTTCGCTTCGGCCAAACAGATGTCAGCCCAGCAAGGGATTTTTATCATGGCATGCACACGGAAACTAGCAAACAATGAGACGACAGACTTCTCTCCAGTTGCATGGCATACCAAACAGATTGGTAGGGTGGTTCGTTCTACTTTGAGTGCCGAAGCATACGCTATGTCCAGTTCACTAGATAAGTTAACGTGGATTAGATGCATGTGGGGTTACATAAAGGATCCCTCTTTTGCTTGGCATAAACCTGAAAAGTCTCTTTGTGTAGAACCACCAGGGTTAATGATCACTGATTGTAAATCCTTATATGACTTAGTCACGAAGACTGCAGTGCCAAATTGCCAGGAGTGGCGTACCACCATAGAAGTCATGTTGCTGAAGGAACAATCAGCTAACCATACCCAATGCCGCTGGATCAGCACTGCTATCATGTTGGCAGACTGCCTAACGAAGTCCATGGACTCAACTTTCTTACGCACCGTTTTGCAGTTGGGAAGATTCAGAATCTACGATGAAGAAATGACCCTCAAACAGAACTCGAATCGAAAATATGGTGTCACATGGGTGAAACAATCGAACATAGAAAAGAGACCAGTGTGAGTTTCGTAACTTGCTGCTGCCGCATACACCTTCGATTGTTTCCTGTCAGGGGAAAGCACATTCATTATGTGCCTTTTGACTCGTGGCTCAAGGCCAATTTCAGCGAGATAGGGGAAAAATCTCGAGTGCCGCCATAGGATTGGTTGGAAGGTGAAGAGTGGACTCTTTTGGGATTTGGTTGGATAGATATACATTTTTGGTGTTGTGGACAACACTGTTGGAACGACTTTACTTTGGTTGAACATCAACTACTTTCTGGTGATCAAGGAGGACCTTGAACCATTCAGGTGGGTACCGTTATCAGTGGCGTTGCGATCTACGATCCAACGACATATGTATATGTATATATATATATATGTGACTATCATGAGGTACCATCTCTTTTGTGAACATAAAACAGACCATCTACTATCCCATGTGTGAAATCCCATGATCCAATGATACAATCAACAGGAACAAGATCATGGAGCTTTAATAAGATAACAAATCATTAAGAAACGGTTTCAATGATTCATTATCCCATTAAGTCAGTATTAAGAAACAGCTTTATATAATAAATCATTAATGACAAAAATGAAACGGTTTTGGGGGAATTATATACAAAAAACAACCGATGGGGAGATCATGGGAACGTCCACTTTTTTCAGTGGGATATAAAATGGGATAGTGAACCATCAATATATTCATGGTCAAAATGGAAGTTTCCTAAATTGAAGGTACCCCCTTGCATCATGCGTTTTTTGGATATAGGGATTTTCGTCAATCATCCAGCTATTGGGGTACCGCAGAAACCTCTTTAAATGAATGTGTCCAGACAATTTTACGGTTTCATACGGGAAAAGGAATCCCCAAACCAACGTATAATGGGGATACAATGAGATGCAACCAACAGGCTCAATTGTTGGGGTTTGTCCAAAAATAGGTGATAACCCAATTCATGGGCACTTCAATTGGAAAAATGAGTTCGTAAAAGGTGGGATGGAATAGTTTCGATATTTTCAGACAAAACCAAGTGGGTCCTCCAGATGCTACGAAGAGGGTTTCCTTTGTGCCAAGACGTTTTCAGACAACTCCCCGCGCTGGTGCCACATTTTTTGCTCCTGAGATAGGAGATCCTCAAACCAATTCCCGTAGGCAGAAAATAAAGAAACATATCCCTTCTGGTAAGTTGTTCAAGTTTGCTATGGAAAATGGCCCAGCCAGGTTCGATGATTTACAGTACTACATATTTCAAAAAATGTGTTCCATAGCTATGTTTAATTTCCAGATGGTAATTCGTCCTGTCCCGAACTACCATCCCCCTTTTCCCGTCGCCAAAAATTATGTTTTTTATAATTGATTTGCCATGTTTGATGCCTGTTTTTTGTGCCTAATTATGTTGTGTTTGTCCAAACAATATTGAATTCTATGTGGATATGTGTCTGTACCCCATATTTGCCACCACTTTTACTACTTCCTTATCAAAAGAGAAGTGTCTCCCAAGATTTCCCAGCCTTTCCCCACGCCAAGGCTCTGCCGATAGGCGTCACCCACGTCCAGCACACGGCCAGGTTTTGCCAAGGACGTTTCCAGCTGTTGGTAAAGCTGTTGGATTTCCAGAGCCTCACGATTCGATCCAACGGCACGTTTCGATGATGACTTGGTAGGATGCTGGCTGTGCATGGTGGTATGTTATGATGTCTACATTTCAAAAAAAGTTTGGGAAAGTTTTGCAGTAAGTATATTAGGGCAATATTTAACTACATATTAGCGTATGTATATATATATATGTACTATGTGTAATAGGTGACATTGAAGGTGTATGATCATGGTGATTGGGATCCATATAAACGAAGGGTTGTTCCTTGCCAAAGGGGGGTCGAGAAGGAGTAAGAAGGCTAGTTGCACAAATCCGGGTCCCCGCAATCATCCAACAATAGCGGTTTCAAAAGGAACACATCCATGATTTTGGAATAACCCAAATTTCAAAAACCCAAAATTGGAATCAAAAAACACCAATGACGTGGCCATGGCTCAACGACTTGGACCACACGGGTGCCGCTCCCTCGCCTTGATTCTCGTTTCCGAGATCTGATTACTTGACTGCTGCCCCATGGCGAGCACAGAGAAGAGAACAGCACATGAAAGGAGTCTGTATTCTTAAAATATTTGATACTTGTTTGTTGGTTCCTGGCCAACATTTATACCATCACATCGAATTAAACGTGTATGTTAGTGGAAGTGGTGAGAAGATGTCTCAACGCTCTTGCCAAATTGCACCTGCCCCGCAAAGCCCGCAAGCTGCAAGAGCGGAACAGTTTCATCGACAAACAAGTTGAGCACCGCTAAGGAAAAACAAGGGCATTTTTGTTCCCGGAGTCAAGAGGCGAGCGTCTAGAAACCCATTTTCACCATGGAGTTTTTCACGCGTATCATTATGGTATCATCCCCATGATTTGGGATATATCCCCCATACGTATCCATAAGTATGGTTGGGTATCCAGTTCTAACTGCAACTAGGTTCTGCTACTTACGTGGACTAATAATAGGATCAAGTAATCCATGGTACAAATTTGGGCGTTCCCCAGGAGAACATCGTGGAATCGCGGATATGGCCTCGCTCTAAATGTTTTGCTTACCTGTTCCCTCCCAACCGATAGGTCGGTCTGCCCCACTGGTTTCGCCCTGTAAGTCACAGTCAAAGAGTCCAACACGATCGTGTCTACTGGCCAGTTATGTACAGGTTTCACTGATGGCCGCTGGGTGCTGGAAGTTTTTTGAAAACATTTTCAAAAGCAAAACAACTACCCAAAACAAAGTTTTGAAGTATACCTGGGCTATGCTACATTATGCACAGCATGCAAATGTGTCACTTAGTTTGTGGAACCTGCAGTTTTGTTTTTCAGAGGTGCTTCAACTGACCCAGTCTCGGGTTCGCAAATTCAACCCAGCATTTGTGGGTTCGGATCATGACAAGCCTGTCCAATGAGGCTGGCTATACCTGAAATTTCTCAAATCTCTTGTGTGCAAGGTTGTGATCCATAGATAAGTCCGACTCACACTTTTCCAACCAACATCATGCACCCAACTGTTGGGCTGAATTTGGTTTGATAATGGTCTTAATGCATGGTATTGTAAATGTTTCTTGATAACAGCCATGAATCTCAGTCTTACTACCTACTACTACCTACCAGTAGTACCCGCACGGCGCGGTTAGGGATATACTATTATAAGACCGTCCTCATCTAGAGAACTTGCATGCGCCCTGCGCCAGCCAGGTTCGTTTGCGCATGCTTTGTGCGAAGCTGTTGCTGTGCTGCTGTCCAAGAACATGACCTGCGCGCGACCCCGGCGCAACGCAACGCCAGGCGAAGACTTTCTTCACACTTCACACTGTACTCTTCACACCCCGCACTTCACACTTCACACTTGCACTTCACGCTCCACACTTCATCTCATCTCAAATAAGGTGAGCTCTTCTCACCTCATCTCAGCTCTTCTCGTCTCATCCCATCTCTTCTCACATGTCATCTAAGTAAGCTCTTCTCAACCGTTGTCATCTCATCCGAGCACTGATCAACCTTTCTCATCCTCGAAGTTCGTCTCAGCTCATCTCGGCTGTTCTGCACGCCAGAAAGCTCTTACTGTCAGAGAGAAGTCTCTTGCACAAAGAAACAATTGGGCGCAGAAACTTTTGCACAACCAAACTTGAGACACAGATGCATTTACACAGAAAAGCCTTTACGAAATACGTTGTACTACAAACCTTGCACAAAGCACTTCCCAGTACTACTTTGTACTAGAAAGCTTGCACAAAGCACTTCCCAGTACTACTTTGTACTGCAAAGCTTGCACACAGCTCTTCCCAGTACTACTTTGTACTTCAAAAGCTTGGCACCAAGCACTTCCCAGTACTACTTTGTACTACAAAGCTTGCACAGAGTACTTCCCAGTACTACTTTGTGCACAAAGCACTTCCCAGTACTACTTTGTACTGCAAAGCTTGCACAGAGCTCTTTCCAGTATTACTTTCTACTACAAAGCTTGGCACAAAGCACTTCCCAGAACTACTTTGTACTACAAAGCTTGCACAGAGTACTTCCCAGTACTACTTTGTACTACAAAGCTTCGCACAAAGCACTTCCCAGTACTACTTTGTACTAAAAAGCTGGCACGAAGCACTTCCCAGCACTTCTTTGTATTCCAAAGCTTGCACAAAACACTTCCCATCACCACTGTTGCACACAGCTCTTCCCAGTACTACTTTGTACTGCAAAGCTTGCACAGAGCACTTCCCAGTACTACTTTGTACTAGAAAGCTTGCACAAAGCACTTCCCAGTACTACTTTGTACTGGAAAGCTTGCACAAAGCACTTCCTAGTACTACTTTGTACTACGAACAAAGCACTTCCCAGCAGCACTTTGTACTACAAAGCTTGCACCAAGCACATCCGTCTGGCAATCTTAATCAGGAAAATGACGTCTCTAAAAGCCAGTAATTCTTGGTGTATCTTCCTTCTTTTTTGGTTGATATTGCAACCTCTTTGCTTTCTGAGGTGTGGCAGTTGACTCACAACACTGTGGTCATACCAACCTCCTACCACTTAAGATGTTCGTCTAGAACTGATAGCTGAACCACCCATGCTTGGCGATAAAAAAAGAGGGTTGATCTCTAATCCCAGGAAGAAATCCCCTACCAATATCAACTTGGGCCGGGGAGCCGTTTCACCACTGATGTTCAAACATGTTAGAACCTTTAAAACGTGTACAGAAACATGGGAGGGTCGAAATCTGAGCCCCGACAGCCAGGCAATGCCAGACCGACATCTGGAAAATTTTGAACTATCTATTCCAAGCGATTGCCAGGATTGCAATCGGACACAGACCCTGAGAAAACAATCGAAACTTCAACCAAGCACTTTAGACTGCACCCGGGCACTGGTGCCTGTATTTGGCTTTAGCTTGGCCTTTCCATCCTTCCTCTTGCTGACCTTGGGAGGTCCACGTGACACCCCGCACTGGACAAAATTGTCTCCTGCAAGAAATTCTCATGACTGGCCGCATTCTACCAGATCTTACGACATGCCGCTTGCAGGAAACTCAACTATCACGACAAACCCCATTCTGCCAGAGTTGAGGTTCCAACACGCTGACAGATCACGAGACAAGTTTGCAGCAGCCTTTCCTCCACTCCTCAAACTGCCTCAAAGCTACAAGCCCATAGAATGCATCAATCACGCCTGGTACTAAGGAGGCTACACGCTCATGAATTTAAATACTAACATAGCCAATCCCCAATAGTTAAGATGGGTAACCTTCAGTAACCCCCAATATTTAAATACTTGTACTTAAATACAATTGGCTAATACTAATCATCAATAACCAATGATACTTAAAACTACACTCCTGTGGTTTTTCATAACTAGAATGACTACAAGTTAGAACAATCATTGTCGATTGATGATCTATAGTTCACCAATGATACAATGCCGCGCCCCAGTTAGAAGTTGCATAACCAAACACATTAACTAGAGTTATAAGATGTTTTAAGTATCTCAACAATATCTCCATAAACCATAAAGTTATAAGTTATAAAGTATCATTATGGCTTATGACACAGATATGGTTTATCACATATCATTTGAACATATTAGAACGAAGTTCTCTATAAACATTAGATGTATAAGCACCATATATAAAGCATACTGAGATTGGAATTATATCTCCATTCTGCCATAGCTGAGGTGCCCTGGAGCCGATAAAATGCTCAAGACCATCGCCGACGCCGCTTTTTTTCTCCTGGCAAATGGCTCAACATATTGCGCCAACAAAAAAACATGGGGATAGATATTCGGTCTAGTTGGAGTTATATTGGGTTTATATATGTATATATTGTTGACTTTCATATCAGTATTTGATGCTGGGTTTATCAGTTTCGAATCTCGTGTTGTATCAAATAAACTGATCCATGGCGGTGATCATGGTGGAAGTTGTCAAGTCCCATGCCTCAGGGCCGCGACTGTACTTCACCAAATATACATGCACATGTGTACACGCATATGTGTATATATATATATTTTATCATTTATTTATTTACATATGCATGAATGTATACATCTGCATGTTATATATATATGCATATATGTATACACATGCATTTATGTATATAACATGGGAAAATCATGGGCATATCCACCTCCAATGAGATATATCATGAGGTACTATCTATGTTGTGAAAATAATTGCATCATCTACTATCCCATTGTATATCCCATGGCCGCGGCCCAAGGGTATCAACAGGGAACTTTCATGTAGCTTTAATGGGATAATAAACCATTGACAAACTATAATGACAAAAATGACACTTTTGGGGGGAATTGTATAACAACCAACCGATGGGAAGATCATTGGAAAATCCACTATATAATGGGATATATATATATATAGTGGGAAAATGAACCATCAGTATATTCTTGGCCAAAATGGAAGTTTCCTAAAATGAGGGTACCCCCTTGCATCATACGTTTTTAACAAACGGGTTTTCCATTGTCAACCATCCAGCTATTGGGGTACCGCCGTTGTAAGAAACCTCTTTAACAGCAAGAATATGGGGATTGTTTTTCAGTGTTTTTCAATTACTGTAATTTCCTATGATATCCTATGATTACCATGTGGGAAATGTTCCATAAACACCCAGTGATGACTCTCCAGGATCCATCCCGGTGCGCCTTGAGCTGCGTACGCCTCTTGCCTCTGGAACTCATACATCAGACATGGTCCAGCATGGTCCAGCAATGCAGCATCCACACCTCCATCGTTTTAGTTGTATTTGTTCTTCGGTTATCTAATTTTTCCTTTGATATCCTTTGGTTTCTTTGGGTTTCCTTCTATCCGCTATCCTTCCGCTATCTGCCTACTTCCTACCAACCTACCTACAATGTGGGCTGTAGATGATGTCAACCTACTTCCTGCTACCATTGCTGGGCTCGGCACATCGCTCGGAGGATCTTCTTTGGAATCTTGTTGTGGCTGAGCTCCGACTTCCTTAAAAGACACTCACTCGATGAGTTTTCATCTCATTATCTCATTCATTTCACTCACGTCATTTCATGTCATGTCATGTCACTTCATGTCATTTCACGTCGTGTCATTCATATCATTATTTTTGTTCATTCCATTTATTACTTCATTCATCTTATTCATGTCATTTCAGTTTGTTTGGTTGGCTTGTCCATTCAATTCACTCACTCGCTCACCTATCTGAGGGGCGGGCTTCCGGTCGCCCGCGCTCAGGAGCCACTCCTGCCCAACTTCCCAGTGCAGACTGCAAAATCATAAGTGTTACATCCCCCTTTGCTGGACCCCATGACAAGAAGGAAATTACAAAGTTGGGGCATATGGAACTTCATGTTTCCGGCTCACGATGTCCATATCTCTGGTGTCTTGGGGAAGGTCTATTGAACTCCAGCTACAAATTCCAAGCCGCAAACGAAACTACATCATTCCAATGCCTTTCGCTGAACAGTTTTGATGCCCATCCAGAGGGGAATTCCTATTGCCACGTTTGATAACCAGAGGGTGCAGTGCCTACCAAGAAAATCATGGAGGTGTCAGAGAGGTTTCAATGGCCAGCCTACACCTTTACATCTCCCATAAGAACCCCTGTGTGGACACACTGTTTGGGGAAAAACATGGAAAAAACCAACCATCCGGCTGCTCCCGCAGGTGTGAGCCTCTTGCAAGAACCAAAAGTCCTGCTAGTGTTTGGGTTCAAGGTTTCGACAGTGCCCCGAAGAAAAGGCCACCCAGCCAAAATGTGAGCTAATCAACAAATTGCGCAGTTGTTTTCTTTCATTTTTGGAGGGCCGACACATGCCAAAATTTTGAAAAACGAAATAACCATGTGAGACGACAGGTCTGTAACGGTAGTCTCTTTGGGCGGAACCAAATCTGTAGCCGACTGATATTTAGCTCAATTTACAGATGCAAGCAGCCACATAAGATCGGAAACTGAATCTCCATGAGAATCCATGTCTCACTTTTGAGAAAATTCAAACCCCAATCTTCCTCACTCCAGGTACAATTTGAAATCCGACAAACGAAACCACATCATCCAATGTTCATATTTCGATTTCAAATCAATGACTAGTCTAGTGGGAATTGATCAGTATTAACCATTATGAACTAGTGGGAATAACTACTAATACCCATTCACACTAAAATATGGTTATTAATTGCGAATTTCATTGTTCATCAGCGTTCATAGACTCCCAGCAATCCTTACATTTCTGCAACAAGATTTGATGTCAACCTCCGATTCTGAAGAAGCAATGACTATAGCCAAAAACATCATTTCCTACTAACATTGCATATACCTCCCAACTAACCAAGCAGGGTTTATTATGATATTCTCCCATACTTATACTCTCTTTTACTTCTACCATCTTATACCCAAATCCCCTTCTGTAATCCCCAAGTCTTGGTGTTTTGAGGCATGCAGTTGGTAGTGGGGGGGCCAGCAATGGTAGAATCGGTCAATCTAACCATGCACTCTCTTCACCCTAGTGTGAAATACCACAGAGAAACCATGAATATGGTAGTGCGTGAAAGGATTCTGGAAGCTGCGTTAAACCTGAACGCATTGGAAGAAGAGTAGTCCTAGCATATTCCTCTTTCATCCCGCCATCGCGGTGCCTTCCGAAAGTGGTAGGCTATGTGCCTCCGGCTTCTTCTCTGCAAGTGGAGAAACGCTAGTTGAAGGTGCAATTGTTTCCGGTCATTTGGATAGACCTTGTCCTAAATTTGACAGTTAACTCAATGAGATTTGCAGTCGGTGGAGAAACTGCATTCCCATACAACTGGTGCGCCTCCCGCTTCTCTTCCACTGGCTGGATTGGAGCAGGTCCCACAGCCTTCTTGGCAACTTTTGATTGGCACTGCTCACGAGTCTTGAAGGAATGTCCGTATGAATTCCGGAGGACCAACTCCCAAGAATCTAGTTTGCACCCAATGGACCCAAATGTCTTGTGTGATTGGAAGTTTTTCACCTAAACTATCAGAAGGACCTTCTGTTGTTGATTCATGACATCTTGTAACAAGTAGCTGTGAATCACAAGTAGCATGACCTCTTTCATCCCGCCATCGCGGTGCCTGGAAGTGATAGGCTAGCCAAGCCTCATGTCACAACTTGTGGCAGCTGCGGAATTCCACTTCTATTGTGGTAAACCTAACAATAGAACTACCGTTTTGGGATAGCATTTACAACCCAGTATTCTGGTATATTCTGGTATACCTGGTATCACCATCTTGCTGGAAATATTATTGGTACTATTTCATACTATTACCATATATAACTTGCAATCATTGTATTGATAAAAATCCCAAACAAAACTTACCACAAATATCAGAAACCATGACTTGCCCAATTTCCAACAATGATACTACCTAAAATTTACGGTTTATCAATGGCTTTACCACAGAAAATCCTTATTTTTCCCCAACTGCCAACCGAAAACGTCTTAGGAGGTGACCTCCTGCAGCATGCCATCAAACGCCGACATGGAGGTGACCTTCCCACAGTGGACATCTGTGGACATCTGTGGACATCTGCGTCTTGTGGCACTGAGTGGATAACATTGTGGTCAATATGTTAGTCAATCATCATTTAATTATCAATGATATCTCATGATATCTCCATATGCTTGATAGTCAAAAACCCATACAGGACTGATGATTATTAATCCGACAAAAGTATTTTGTTTTATTGTGCGCGTGATCGTGCTTGCAAGTTATCATATGTACGCTTTGGCTATGTTACATAGCCATGGAAAATTGTCCATTTGCACATGATTTATGATAAAGTACCTATTAAACATTGTGATTTTCCAGTTCGCAATGTCAAATTACCAGAGAGTGATAAAATGCAACAATATCTCTCATCCCTTGGGCTTTAAGATGCTTTGTCTCAAGCTCAAGCTCCACCGGCATCTCTGATCAAGTGCGACATCACCTTTCAATACCTCTATATCGTGTATATATATATACATATATATATATATACATATACATATATACATATACATATATACATATATATACATATATACATATATACATATATACATATATACATATATACATATATACATATATACATATATACATATATACATATATACATATATACATATAATATAATATATATATATATATTCGGATGTTCCCCCTTAATGTGACAGTGACCACAACTGGACAGCACAAACGGAGCACCACAAAAATGAAGTCCCAACATACCGCCATGCTCAAATCAGAAAACACGTTTTTCCACTATACCCCTGCGGAAGCTCCATGGTGCCATCAACATAGGCATAGGTTGTCAAAGCAAAGTAGTACTGGTAGAAGTACTTTGTGCAAGCTTTGTAGTACAAAGTAGTACTGGGAAATACTTTGTGCAAGCTTTGTAGTACAAAGTACTACTGGGAAGTGCTTTGTGCAAGCTTTGTAGTACAAAGTAGTACTTTTGTGCAAGCTTTGTAGTACAAAGTAGTACTGGGAAGTGCTTTGTGCAAGCTTTGTAGTACAAAGTAGTACTGGAAAGTGCTTTGTGCAAGCTTTGTAGTACAAAGTAGTACTGGGAAATACTTTGTGCAAGCTTTGTAGTACAAAGTAGTACTAGAAAGTGCTTTGTGCAAGCTTTGTAGTACAAAGTACTACTGGAAAGTGCTTTGTGCAAGCTTTGTAGTACAAAGTACTACTGGGAAGTGCTTTGTGCAAGCTTTGTAGTACAAAGTAGTACTGGAAAGTGCTTTGTGCAAGCTTTGTAGTACAAAGTAGTACTGGAAAGTGCTTTGTGCAAGCTTTGTAGTACAAAGTAGTACTGGAAAGTGCTCTGTGCAAGCTTTGTAGTGCAAAGTAGTACTGGGAGAGCTGGGTCAGCTGGCCACTTAAATTCAATCGTAAATGGAAACCTCTAGAAAAAAACGCATTTTTTTGCTGATTTTCTGGTGCTCCGTTTGTGGTCTCTGATTGTGCTTTCTGGTGCTTCATTTGTGCTCTCTGATTGGACTGGCTGGTGCTCCGTTTTGCGTCTCTGATTGTACTTTCTGGTGCTTCATTTGTGCTCTCTGATTGGACTTGCTGGTGTTGGATGCCTTGGGTTTTACCACGTGTTGTGTGCCAAAATGCATTGGCTAGAAAAAGAATGCAAAGCAAAATGCATCAGCGGACCGGTCTGAGCAGCAAATTGTATGGCGCGCACAAGATGCCAATGTGATAAAGCCTTTGGCACTGTTATGCACTGTCTTGTGGCTATCATGGTTTCAGTTTCAGTTGTGTTATGAACACACCAACGCCAGTACAGCGCATCTCAAAATGTAAAAGAACGCGCTACGAGTCCAACAGTCCGATAATACGCTGGCATGCAGTGGGAAAAAAGCAACCGGTGAAAGGTAGTTTCATAGCAGTCCAACATGGCAATGGAAAACCCTCCATTTAAATATATATATATCATTTCCATATATTTCCCATTGAAACTCCGTTCGTAGGGGGGTTGATTCATCAAGCGAAAGAAAACTTTGAATGGTTCTGTCTCCACTCACTAAACTGCTCTCCTTTTTCGGCTGCTTGGGCCGGGCCGTCAAATGGGCAAGACACCTTAGCACCCACCCAACGTGGTAGTCTGAGTCGCATCATTGGTGCCAACGCTGAAGAACTCAGCCATTTCTGTCAATCGACCTGCTGGCAGTGCTGCGCGTGAATACTCGATCACGGTGCCAATCTTGTAGGTGAAAGTGATTTGCTGCTCCTTCTTCACGATGGCATCAGCAATTTTCTCAATGATGCCGTGATGCCCTTCAACGTTTCAGTTCTTCAAATGTTCCAACCAGGGGAACTACAAGTCAACCTTTGGCAATTTCTTGGAGCTTCGCCCCACTTCAGCTGCAGCCTCAAAAATAGTTTGTGCCTGCATCTCGCAAATCTCAGGATGGGGGATGGCAAACCTCTCACACTCCAACCTGTCCAACAGCCTTGCCGATACTGGTATGCAGTCGGTCATTCTGAACAGTTCCGTGATGTTCTGCTTCTGGATGACCAGCAGCTTATCCAAGGCCTGTGGCCGATCAGCCTTGTCCACAACCTGCATCCGATCCTCCCCAAAACGGTGTTGAACGACCAAGGCTGATCGCACCTCGGATTTCATGGACAGCAACGAGGGAGTCACCCCGGGGTCCGAGAATTGCACCTGGGCGATGGCCAACAAAAAACAGGGCACAGAGCGACACCATGCGTCTGTCACTTTTGCAATCTTTTGTGAGTGTTTTGAACAACCATTGAAATTGGGGCAATGGGTAGTGGCGCAAATACTTTCTTCCCTTTCCATGCAAACGACAGGGGCGTACACAACTCACAAACCACGCGATGACAACCAACAATGCATGCTTAGTCGGCTGAAATACAATTTCTATAAGAGGGCGACTCAATCAAGGGATCCGCCAACATCTTCCGTACCCTGACATCTTTGGTTGGTTCAATCGTTTTTTCTGTTCTTGTTACATTTAAGCATTTATTTATTTACACATGCATATCGATATGTGTATATATTACACATATCCACGTTTTCACTGTCTGCTTCCTACACTCTTACATATCAAAGTTGAGTTGGTCAAAGATGCGGTCCTGTTTCATGCTTCGTTTTGATCCTTTCTCGTGTTCCGCTCCAAAGTAAGGAACCCATCTGAGCTCAGGACTTTACGCACTGTGTCTGCGAACTGTTTAAATCATCTGGCCGCCAAGGAGAAGTGGAAATGCCAAGTAAGGAACCCAAAACTCCACACTTCATACTACATGGAAGTTTCCATACATGGGGGTACCACCAAATCATCAATGGCAATAGGTTTTCCATTGTAAACCGTCCATTTTGGGGTACCCCCAGTAGTGGAAACCCCCACATGTTCCTAGGAACAAGCTGCAGTAGCCCCACGGTCTCCCACCTCCTCAAGAGTTTTTGCTTGTAGAGAAGTCTTGCACCCTCAACTCTTGCGCCGTCCATGGTTTGGATTGCAGTAGTTCTGGTTTGAAGCTATCAGAGGCAACATTGGTATATCCCTATTTCATCTCCTTTCTTCAGCTTCTTTGTTGTCTCATCCTCTCCACCTCGTCTGTTAGCTACATCGTCGATGTCCGTAATTTTGTTTGCTATGTCCGGAGGCTCAACATATGAGAATTGAGAAAATATATGGAACTCAAAGCACCATCAGCACTCCTACTTCCAATGAGTCAAGTTTGAGTTCAAAGGTATGGCTTGAACCCAGAGGAAGCCAGAAGAATAAATCAAGCGATTCCACAGTCAATAGCGCAATTCCTTGGTCAAACCTCATCGATGGGGGGGCTGCCTCCCAAACCCATCCAACCACGAAAGGTTCAGCACGTTCCAGCCACAAGTAAATCAATCGAAATTGTTCCAAACACACAACGTGGGCACTGCGGCCTGGAATTTTCCACCCGCTGGGTGTTTTGGTCTCGGCATTTCCACTGGTACCAACTTTTGCGGACCAAATGACTATGTCGACCCGAGAATCCAAGGATTTGGAATCAGAATCGCAGAATGTCGGTTAGAACTTTCGATAGTCGAACGTATCAACTCCAGCTCCTGAAACAGCAGGGTCCGAATGCCACAAAAAGAGATCAAAAAAGTAATGAAAATCATGTTCAAGAAAGTGATGATTGATGATGAACAGTGAAAACGCATGAATGAAAAAAAGAAGCGTGCAGCCCCCCGCTCTTAAATAACGGACTGAATCCAGCCTTGCAACAATTTAATTTAAGCCAAAACACATCTTTGGATATCTTTGGTGTGTTTGTATCCCTTCAGTGTTGTCTGTGAATTTGATTTATGTTGATATTTCATTGTATGTCTCTTTTCCGATTCTCAATAGTTTTGAATCTAAAAAAGCCACCATGTCCTTCGGGTGAAAGCAGCGGAACAAGGCAACCCGGCCGCCGTGCCTTGCAACTATCAAGGCGCATCACCTCCTCTGCATATGCAGTATGTGCGCCATTCCTGCCAGGCAAATGGTCATGCCACCGTGAAATGCATACAGATTCTCTCAGATAATAGTCATCTGTCAAATTCATCTGAGATAACTATGACATATCAGATAACTATCATAAAATTCACTTCTCAGATAGTCATCCCCAAATAGTGAATGGTGAGGGTTTGGTATATGGGGCTGGGGTGACGAGTCGATCTCAAGTGACCTGTTATGCAATGCGTGGGGCGTCGGTACACCCGATGGCATTTTTATGGGTTGTATAAGCCCTCCCAGATGATAGGTTTATGGCATTGGGTTTGCCACAATACAAAGAACGACCAAACAAATCTGTGGAAACTTGATACACACTGGGAACAAAGCCGTTTCCGACATTTCTGAGGTGCAGGGGATCTCTTCATTTTCTGGGGGGCGGGGTAGCACTGGTAATGTTAATACCCGCCCTTTGCACCCCAATTGCACTACTAAACACCACGTATGTGTGGACCACCCCGTATATCAGGATTGAGGACACTTTGGGCTACAGCCCATGATTTTTCGGACCTTAACTAAGCCAAGTGAAAGGAACGAGATACATTAGGAGACAGGAGACAGACAACTGCAACTCATGCAGGGTTTCTGCCGGCTCATCGCCGCAAAATAGGGTGATTCAAATGTGAGACCCCAAAATCCATCCGTATCTCAACACTTTTCTGGCACCTAAGAGTAGGTATATTTGTGATCTTAGGGGGAAGGCATCATGGAACAGGTGATTTATAGACAGGTCTGTTCATCTTCAAACTGGGATCGGCCGTCGTTGACCCCAGCGCTTCAATAACCCAATTCACTTAAAAACAAGAAAAACATGGATAGTCTCGAAATGGAGTACCACCAATGCCAATGAACTATCATCAGTTTCCAACTCAATGGATAAACACTGCATACTGAAAAAGGTGCATCTATATGCTGGTATTGGGATGTGAAAAGCAGCGCATTGTTTTGAGACACTGAGAGGGCTGCAGGGTGCACAGTGGTTTGTGCGTGTCTTCCAAGTTACCTGCAGGGGTCATGCTACTTACCTAAACCACTGACACCCCGCCTCAGCTGCCATTTGCAGCACTTCGGCTACTGGTTCAGCTGTTTCAGTTGCTTGGCCCTTTGGCCAATCCAGCCTAGCTATCTACCTGCCCGGCTCTCATTGGCTCTTCTTCAGGTTGAAGCTCACTTTGATTTTCAGTGGCAGCTGTTTCCTCATTCCGAGATGCTGCGGAGAGCTTGTGGGACTGACCAGTAGGCCAGCTTCGATGCTTCGGTACTCTCCCATCCACTGAGAGTTGTCTCCAAACGCTTCTTCTTCATCTATCTCAGGATACCAGTCTGAACCTTGGTCGCTGGGCTGGATCCTTCTTGAATTGAGAGCTCGATCCCTCTCTCTTGTGCTTGTCGGATGATGCTCTCACGTAGTCCCGGTGCATTGGTCTGGACTACCATGACTGGTCCTAGATTTTCTCGGATTAGCCTTTGAATGTACTTCACTCCTTAGCTGCTGCAGATGTCCCTCTGCAATGGCTGATTGTTCCTGCAGCCTTGCATTTCCGGCTTATTCAAGCCGATCCAGTCTTTCTCCATGGACAATTGCTTCATCCCATACTGTTTGGATGGCTTTCTCAGTATCCTTTACCCTTTCTTGGATCACTGCCTGTTCTTCCCTTCTCCTTCGGCAGATCCTTTTGATAAATTAATTAAAAACCAATTGCCATCACTGTGATGAGTGCCATCAACAGTTGTATCCAAAATGGATTGGTTCCAGCTTCTGTCCTTGGGATGTTACCACATTTCAGTGGTTCCGTCCCTGTGGCTCAAGCCCATGTACTGGGGATGCGGTAGCTTCCTCCAGCAATGATTGAACCATGAGTACTCTGAACATCTTGTACATTGCTTGGAGATTTCCTTTCTGCACTCTTCTTACTGCATTACGTTCCAAGGCTTTCTGCTCGTCATCGAGCCGTTCCGCTTCACCAACTGGCGTGTAGTCATTGTGGGCGTGCGCAAATCCCATCAGATTCAGTAGGACTTGGATTCGCCTCTTGGCCTGAGGATTGTACAACTCAAGGACTCTTATCGTCTTATCGTTGTACTCTTCGTCTTATCGTCCGCACCAAACAGGTACTGATCGCCTGACTCTTGTAAAGTAGCAACCATCATCTCTTGAACTTCCTCCACCCTGGACACATTGCCTGCAAAACTAAGCGGATAAAGTACCTGTTGTCCGGTAGTACCTCTTTCTGCTAAGGTTCTGGCTCGACTTGGACTTCCTTCAATTTGTCCTGTGGTTGGTTCCAAACCACGCTTCCTTGATTCTTCCGTGTCCATAGTAGACCCGGCCTGAGCTGGCGGTTCCAGCTGTTCCTCTGTTGGTCTTTTCGTACCTCGAGCGCGGTCATCCACCATTGGCAATCGAAACTCCCCCGCTGGACTCCGTGGTGGAGTTGGAGGATTTGATGGTGTCTTGGGCAGCTCCTGCCGATTTTGCTCTTCCAGTTCCTTCAGTAGCGCATCATCTGGCTGTTCCTCCTCACTGCTGCTTTGTTCCTGCGCAGCTGTCTTTAGTGCTTCAGCTCTCCGTCCAACCGATTCTTGTTGGAAATTCCACGGTGCCCCTTCGACCTTCATCAAACTTTCGGCTTGGTATGGTGTGACACTCTGCGCACAGTTTGAGCCACACGTGTGCCAGAAACGGTACCCACCAAGAATGAATCTGATGCCTCACTTTTGCAATACCTTTTGGTTTTCCCGGCGGGGTTCTTGCAAAAACTGTGGTCCCAAATGGCACCAACTTGCCGACATAACGCCGCTCAAATCCCAGCTCGAAAGGAGTCTGCCCTCCTTGGCCACTCGCAGGCTGAAATCGATTCAACAGCCACCCCGCAGGGCCCAGGCGCACAGTAACTCCAGTTCTGGCCTCCAGCTCATGCATGAGACACGAAGTCTGTCGACGCACCATCTGGATGTACCTTTCTGACAGCAGTCCTTGATGCTGTCCCACTGCAACAAGCTGGATGTGCGACTTGAGTTTCATCGCAGCTCTTGAAGATTGCCATGTCCTGGCTATCTGTTTCAATGCTGGCTCCTGGTCTGTGCGAATCACCAGGTTGATCCATATCCTGCTGTGGCATTTACCAGCTACTGGACCAGGTACTTCAGTCCATACTTGCCCTTGCTTGGAACTGGGATTGCCACCACCCACTTTGTTTGGCTTTCAACCGCACACAAGAACGTGGTGCGTGCTTTCTCGTCACCACTCTGGGGTTCGCCTGTGATGTACCCGAAGTCCATATGCACCATCGCGGTCATCAATGTCCTTGAAACCTGCTCTTTTGTGGGTTCCTCCCTGCTCTTGGTGGCCGTGCACGACTCACACCAGGGAGCCTTGGGCAGATGAGTGAGCTCATGCTGCTCCTTCTCTTGTGGGCTCACATCCTTAGGCAATGGGATGGCTTCACCGTGCCTGACCAGATCATCTTGGCATTTCTTTGCCAACTCCAGAGCTGCGTCAACCTCTCCATTTGCAAGAAATCAAGTCAGCCTTTCCCAGCAGTCCTTCTTGCTTCCGGTTTTGGCGCAGGCTGCACTGCATCACGGGGCCTTTCCGATCCCAGGTCCTCTTCCTGTATTATAAATCTTCTTTCTTGGCTGGCTTTCCCACCAGTGCTATGACTGCCTGCTCCGTCATCGGTACCAGGTGCAACATCGTAAGGATCTGCGTCGGGCCCTCCAGCAATGGTATTGGGGCCTTCGGTTCCACCATGGATCCTTCTGCAGCGTACTGTGCTGCACACTCAATGATTTTCCAGACTTCCTCATCTTGTCTCCATCCTGGATTGAGATATTGTCCCTTGTCCTGGTCAGACACCAAGATCATTGTCGTACGGTAAGGGTAGTCTGAGATCCCAAACCGTTTGCGACCACCGACATGTCTGTCCGTTTCCGACCTGTAAGTGGGAACTCCATTTACATAGAACCACGTATCCTCCATGATCTTGTTGGCCTTTGGTACCAAGCAGATTTCTCGCACATACTGCTGGTTCACCCTTCGGATCTCGACGTGTACCACGAGGCTGTTTCCAGAGTAGTGGACTGGAATGATGTATCCATCCTTGTCATGCCTCAGTTGCAGCTGTCCTGAGCTGCTTCTTCCTGGCGTCCAGCCATTCTTGAAGAACTTGCCTGCAGAAATCAGTGGTTGTCTGACTGATTCCGAAACCGTGGCCATCTGCCGTACTCTGGGCTTTTCACCTGTTGTTGCCTCAAAGACAGACAAGTTCGACCTTTCTCTGCGAAGTCCCTCGCAGTTGATTTCCTTGGGCGTCTCTGAGTATCGGCGTATTGCCCATCACTTCTCCCTTTTATTGAAAAACCATTGGAAGCACAGTCATGTCGCTTCCCGAGTCCAAAATGGCCTCGACTGTTCGGGGCTCATGGTAAACTGCCCGAACCTGGAAATTCATAGGGTTCTCACTGCCTTCAACAGATGAATCATCGGGTTCGTTGTGCTTGTGGTGCAAGCTAACGCTTCTGGCTGTAGTGAAACTAGTCATGGTCCTCGTGGTCGTCGGATCACATGACTCAAGGTCAGGACTGTAGGTCCAATCGTCCTGATCATCGTCCTTGTCCATTCTGGTATGTGGACCTCACATCGTAGCGTTCGGACGTAGCTGTCACAGAACGTGGTATCCTGAGATTCTTCTTCGCTGAGGTTGTATATGACACAACAGCTTTCTGGATCAACCAAATCAATTCCCCTCACTTGTGAAGCTGAGGGTCCTGCTGTGGTCGTGGTGACACTTGTACCAGCCACCGATGCCGTGGAGCTTGCTGGTGCTTTCACCTGTCGGACTCCCTTCGCTTCATCCTGTTGCTTCTTCCAACATTCCGATTGGCGATGTCCTGCCTTTCCACAGTAGAAGCAACCATCCTTAGGTTGTTTTCCTTTTCCTTTTGACTTGGACTGGTTGTCTTGGTCCAGTTTTCCTTTCCCTTCTGACTTACCTTTTCCTTTTCCTTTTTCGCCTCCTGAAGCATGCCTAGTTCAAGGTGTCGAGGCGCTGTCGCAATCCATGCATCTTGGCGCTCGGCACATTCCGTAAGGAGCAAATCAGGTGAGGTGCTGCTGCCAGCTTCAAGATCAGCAAGGCAGGGAGTCTATTGCGATTCCAAGTGAACCAGTTTTCCCCCTGGCAGGTGCGCTTTCCGACTTTTGAATTTCGGCAAAGATCGACGCAATGTGGTCCATAGCCGCTTAACTTGGTTGGGGCCCAGAAAGTCAGCACCTTCACGAAGAAGACCATCAAAAAAGGCTCGGTCATCAGCATGGAGTGCCTGCGCAACTACCTCGCCAAGAGCTCGGAATTCATGATGTAAGCAGGGAACCAGTTGATCTTGCCGGCGTCCAAAGTGGCGCGATGTGCCTCTCCATACTTCCACGCAGAGAAAAACTGCCCAAGAGCAGCTCTGCACTGGAGGCGAGTTGCTTCAGCCAGTTGTTTTCGACATTGTCGTTTCTTCTGTACTAAGGCCCAGTTTGATGGGGAAATGATCTTCTTGACCGGTTGTGCTCCTCTTCGGACTTGATGATGTCGAAGAGCATGTTCCACAGCTCGTTGAAGCTCTGCAGCATGAGAGTGCGGATCTTGTCCCAGGTCAACTAAGGGCTGAAGGCTCGCTTGAATTTTGCTAAAATCGAGGTTGCAGAAATCAAGCTGACGTGCCTGGCGGCGGCCTAAATGAGCATGTCCAGTGCCTTCGAAGCTCCATTCAGCAAAAGTAGCTGAGTGATCTGTGGTGATGATGGCTGCACCAAAGTCATCCATAACCCAGGAATCACAATGAAGCATTGTCCATGATCGAGGCAGGCCGATGAAATCAATACGTCGCTTGCTGCCGCTCGTGTGGGCCCACGTCTCGCTCCATGGTGTAGATCTTCAAAGGTTTCTGGAAGAAAAACGCTGCATTTGTGCACGAACTCAACGACTGGTTCAGAGCGGCTTTCATGTCGGCCTGCTTGATGTCCTCCTATGTGATCATCAATGTCGTGGCCAACCGTTGTATTGGCATCAAGCGCCAGAACGAATGGCCATTCTTGCAGGTAGAGAGGGATCTGGTCCCAGAGATTGCGCCACCACTGTATGACTTCATGTTCATTGTGACCAAAGTGCGGCGCGTGCCCAACGACATAGACAAAGCGCAAGAAGGGTGCTGCAACTTGAAGAACTAGCACCCGTGGCTCACTCCAGAGAAGGGAGATATGTTGGTCACGAAAGTACAGTGCTTGCTTTCCACTTCTTCATGCTGGATGTGGCCGTACGGGATGGTCTTGGAGAAGCCAGCCATGACGCCAAAATGTCCAGCTTCAGTAGCTGCACTCTTGTACAAGATGTAGTTCAGGCTGTAAGCAATCGACGGATCCGTGTCTCTTGGAAACCGAAAACATGGAATCCATCTGTGTGCAGCTGTTGAAGCAGAGCCGCTTGACGTGCTGGTCCCACAATCCCAGCGCCGGTTTCAAGTCCAGCTTTGGTACTCTTCAAGGACAGCACATTACATGACAGTAGCTTCAAGCAGAGTTGGCTAACCTCTGTAGCATAGCCAGGCTCTCGAGCAACTTCAGGTTGCACAAGAAGATCTTGACGGGGTTTGCTGTTGGGAAGGGGAAGCACAAGATGGTGCTCCTTCCAGTAAGGGGCAAAGTCCTTGTTGAAAAGCGCCCAAAACCAGGCCACGTTGGTAGCAAAGCCAGGCCTGGTTACATCACTAATCCAGGCATCCAGAGAGTGAAGTGCCTGTCCGCTTGCTGCTCTGCGCGCAAGTACATCAACTAGCTCATTGCCAGGATCTCCTGCATTGCATGTCCTCGGATGTGCCAATCAAAGATGTGGATGCCAAGTCTCTGCTCATTCAAGATCTGCATGTTGCGTAGCGTTCTGCCAAGATGTTGATGAGATCGACATTGCCAGTCGCCAGAGGCTTGATGACCCACTGTTTGAGAGTCAAAGCAATGGTGCACAAGTGGCATGTCATATTGGTGGGCTCCAAACATCTTCAAGACGTCGTGCGTGAGTTTGGCAGCTAGGGTGGCACTTGCTACTTCCGCTTGATAGGATCCTGCGCGGGAAGGGAGTGAGGTGCTAAGCGCTCCCGCAAAGTACCAACACTCCTGGCTTCTGATGAACGCAGCCACCGCAGCACCACAAGAACTAGAGCTGCTGACATAGGAACCATCATAGTACAGCCAAAGTTCAGTCCCTCCAATTTCAGGAGTCCACCAGTAGTCAAGCCAGGGTGATGATGGACAGGTCAAACTGTGGTAGTAGAAAATGTCCATCAAAAATCTCGAAAGTCGCGGATCGCTTCCTTAAAGGAGATGTGCTGTCCATCTTCAAGATCTTGTCGTCTCTCATCATGTTGAGGGAAACTATTGTTGACATAGTTGGCCTCATTATGTAGTACAGTCAGCGTCAATGAAAGTCCATGACGTGTGAGAAGACGATCGAGCATGCCAATTTCATGCCCACAGGCTGATTTTAAAGATCTATACAAAAAGAATTCTCCTTAGGCAACTCCATACGCGCGAAACATTTGAGTACAGAAATGGAAGAGATTGGTGAAGAGGTTGGTGAAGAGATTGGTGAAGAGGTTGGTGAAGAGATTGGTGAAGGAGATTGGTAAAGTGCATGGCAAGCGTAAAGCGTAGAATATGAAAAGAATGCTGACTTCCCCAATCACCATGGTCAAGCTGTTTTGAAGTCAACTTTTCTTCATACCATTTCTTTAATTCGCAGGTATTCGAAAACTCTGAGAAAGGCTGCGATTTGCTGGGCGCTGGGAGTCCACCATAGTTCACCCATCATGGATTGAGGACTTCACATGTCACGTACCAACTGACTTCACAAACACGGGACATGGTCAGGCTATATACGTCTGGCTCTGCGAAAACATGGGATGAGGATCGGGTCATACTCTTCTCTTCTGTTCCTCAACACATGGCCAATATGCCAGATACCCTGCAAAAACAAACAAACTTAGCTGGTTAGTGTTTGATGCAGGATAATCCCATTGATGCTAAAAGACTAAAGGATTAGTTTCTACCCATCCACTTGATTGACCGCTATCACGGGATCCCACACCGATGGATCAACCAATTGCATCATCGCATGTTTGCTGCTTCTATGTTGCCTGTCGTATGCTTACCTTACTGTATCCTGGTTAAAGTGTTACAAAAAGGTTTGAAAGCATGGATGTTTTCATAATATGCAGTTGGATTATTCGAATACCTTTGTTGATGGTATGCATATGTATAATAATTGCATAATTATGTGCATATATATAGTATACCTTGACAATTTATCTTTTTCCCCATGCTCAAACCCCACAAAGTCACAAACTACAGTAATCAGAACAGTTAGCCTCAAAAAAAAACAACCTTAACTTACCAATATCCAATTCGCCCGCCTGGCTGCTGGCTTTCACCGCCGCCTCTGTCCGATGTTTCTCGGCTTCGTCCTGGAGTTCAAGTGGTTGAAGAGTGATACATCGGTAATCCCCATGATAGAAAGTGGAAACAAATATGGAAAACATATATTTAACATGAATTTAACATAAAATAATCAACATACTTTTGGAGAACATATATTTGACATAAAATCATCAATGAGGAGGAAAGAATACATGTGTATCCCATGGTTTAATACCCATGCAAGAGGTAAATGAGAATACATGGAAAAAACTCAGGAAGTGGAAAGCTTTTGATACTGAAATGATGCCGACCCCCCAATATTATACACTCCCATAATCGCACATAATATAGTTTAATGGTATATTTTTATGTCTGTGCGTGTGTGCAGAGGCAAATGTTTACGTGCTTACTATACGTACTTTAGACAAACATAGACAAACTTAAGTGTCTATACATATGCATATATAATAATGTGCATATAATGCGTATAATATAGATATATATATATATATAGAGAGAGAGAAAGAGCAACCTCAATTTCATGTAAGGTTTGAATGTAATCAAAGTTCAAGTCTCAGAGACACTCCAAAAAATTATTCTCTTTGAGCCTTCTCAATTTCTGTCGAACTGCGCGTATTTGGTCAAATTTGGTGGATTTGGGGAGATTCACGCTGCACTAGGCTGCATTTACCAAACTTGAGTCTCTGTCCTCAAGAATTCCTGTGGGATGCATGGTTTGGGCATCATGAACTTGTTTAAACGAGATTCTGTCCAACGTGTTAATGTATGTTAATGTTGGGAAGCATATTAAACTGAGGTCAAAAGGGAACCTTCGCTCCCATCTGACTCATCTTCAACAACTTCCCAGAGACGTCACAAGCAACATTTCATTGAAACAGGCAAAGGTGCAATGCATCTGTTTACCCATGGCCCGTAATTGTTTAAAGCTTGAAACATAAGTCCCACTCGTGTATCCAGCCCAATGTTTCTGGCTCATTTTTTCTGTTCCCCGATTGTACTTCACTAACTTCAGCGACATCAACGTCGGATCCTTCTCGACTTCGGCTTCCTTCTTCTTGACCTACGGATCACCGATGACGAAACTCGGGCAATTCGTCGCGAGATCCGACAGTCAGATGATAGGCTCACCCTTGTTGTGGGCGGAAATCAAACAGATGTTTGAAGAAGTTACGTACAATAGTTGCAAATAGTTGCAAATAGTTGGTGCAGGCTTGGTATCACTTGGTATCACTTGGTGCAGGCTTGCCTTAAGCACCTCGCCCCATTTGAGGCCGATCCAGGTCCCGCACCCCTCGACACATGCCCCACAAAGTCAATCATTTTCAGCTGGATCATCCAGCCAAGTATCAATGTAATGCACTATAGACTATATATATATATTAAATGTGTATATTATATATATATATTTATTTATTTATATATTATATGTATAATTATGTAATATGATGTATACACACTATATAATCCACCATTCATGGCCTTTTTGACGGGTTTCTGTTGGGTTCTAACTACAATGACCTGGATTTATGGCGCATATATCTACAGTATTTTGCAGTTTCATCTGTCTATAGACCAAAATGTAAGTGCGGAGGCCACACCGTGTAGAAATCTTGGCCAAGCTGAAATGGGTCCTTTGAAGTATTTCCCACTACTACCCATCATTTATGGTGACGTTTTGGTGACGTGGTCAAAAAAGATTAAGAGATCTATGGATGTTTAATGATGTTTACTTGTGGAGATTTGTCAAACCTGCAAGTCAGCACAAGAAGAATCTTAGCAGTTGCAGAATGGAAAAAAGATTTGTCAAACCCTGGTACCCTGGTTTTGAGATCAAAATAGTTGGTGTATTATTTGTCAATAGTCAATAGGTCTCGCATCCACAAGCAACTCAAACTGGAATAGCACAAAACTGAGTGACCATAATTGTTGTTGCAGACAACTAAAATAAATGAGATTAAATTCGTATGTCTGGAAAGTGGGGTATACCCCCAAAACTTGATGGTGGCCACGCCTCAGCTTTCAGCGTGCGACGCTTTTCCATCCACTCCTCACATGCCCGGGAAGATGTGGGGCGCTATGGAGTCTCTGACATCAAGAAACTACTAAAAGCTACACAGGGTGATACTCCCCAGTTAATAGATTTAATCTCTACAAACCCTCATAAAATTGGGAGTTACCAACCTAACAGAGCTAACGAACTGGGGCGCGTCAACCCACGTCAACCTGGGCTTTCAATGGGTCCCACACGTTAGTCTATTGTTGGGACTGCAGAATAAAACATGATTGGGATCCCTCCAACATGAATATACTAGGTGTAATTGCCTGAAATCCATTCACCCAGAACTCAAGGAACGCGAGGATCAACATATTATATATCAAGGTGAGGATGTTATATCCAAATATGCTATATGACCCACATATACCCAATGCCGTAAACCTCCTATGCCATGGACTTGTTAGTGTGGTAAATCCTGGGTTGCAAGAATCATCCCCCGTGGGTTTCTTGTTGGGTTTACCTCATTACAAGCCACTGCCGTATGACCACCCAGCAAGGACATGTGTTAACCCCGCGGCCTCCAGAGCCACACGCGCGGCACGCGAGAAATCTTCCAATTCCTCTCCTTGGGGGGTGAACAACTTATGTGAGGTTAACTATATGTACAATTATGTTTATAGTACCATATGGTACCATATAAGTACCATTATGTGAACTAAGTTGGTTATAATGTTTATAGTGAGGTCAACTATCAACTTATGTATTTATAAAATACTTGGATGGGACATGGGACTATAAACCACCTCATAACCAGGGGGTTGACCACCTTGAAACAGCTTCATATGGTGATGTCAAGTCACAAAATAATCAGATTCTTGGCGTCCCACCTGTTACTTAGATAAGAAATGGAATTACAAATATAGCCTCTTAAGTAATGATCCACAGTTTGCGATGAAATCTCGACTGTCCCCAGTTTGTCCATGTTTTGGTCAATCATCGAACTAATTGTTAGGCCATTTTCCATGTTCCATGGGCTCCCATCTGCCCGAATCGTGACATTTGCCTATCTTGGGATAGCCCAATGGTGATCACCAGTTTAATGTATATATATATATCATAATATATTTATGGCAAACGATTGAGCAGTACTAAAATCATCATCCAGTTGGTTTTCCTAGAATTGTTGGTTACATCCAAAAAAAAATCCGCATTTTTTTGCTGAAAAATATGTTTGTGCAAGGTTATATCTCCCTGTTATTCCACCATTGAACTTGGTTAAACCTCCATTTTTCGAGTCATCCCTTGTGATTCCCATGATTCCAGCGTTTGTTGAAGTTAAACCATTCAAACCTTTGAACAAGAAGAGATAAAGTATGATAAAGTATGATAAAGTTGTATATAAGTTGTACTGCATATAAGTTATAGTCATTACTCCATTATACAGTATTATACATCATATTTTGTCATACCTTCTGGTAAAGATACAAAAAAACTATGGGAAATTCACCATGTTATAGCTGGGTAAATCAACTATAAATGGTCATGTTCAATAGCAAACTGGGCGCCGTGCCCAGCTGAATGTCCTCCATTCGCTCCACCAGGTCCTGCGAAATTCTTATGGTGAAAAAACGTCAGGGTGGAAGAAATGGCACCATTTAAAGAAATGATTTTGTTGGCTGATGTTAAGCCAATTTTATCTGGTTTTAACCTGATCTACTGTAACTTAATTTTAAACTGATTTAAACTGATTTTGAATGAACTTACCCTGATTTGCAGTAATCATGAAAGATCCTGATTCAAGCACCAAAATTTGGGATGCGACCCTACAGTATATGTTTTAGCCATCAAACAAGCGCGCAAGCCCGTAATAAGCCCACTTCTCATCAGCTTGGATGCAGGTGGTGTAGTCTCACTAGAGTTGTTACACATAGATATCCAGAGAATGTGGATCATATCAGCAGGTATACGTCATTGTTTATACAGGGAAACCATCAACACGTATCTGTATGTATATATATAAATGTATGGATGGATGGATGGATGGATGGATGTATGGATGTATGTATGTCTGTATGTCTGTCTGTATGTATGTATGTATGTATGTCTGTATGTCTGTATGTCTGTGTGTCTGTGTGTCTGTGTGTGTATGTATATATATATGTATATGTATATGTATATGATAATATGTATATGAGAATATGTATATGTCTATGATAATATGTATTTATTCATTTATTTATATATGTAACGTATACCAAAAGCATTGGCTGTCTCAATCAGCAAACATCCTGTGCAAGGTATGCCTGAAAATTCTCGTTTCAAGCTGTCGCTCCTGCGTTGATGTTTTGGGACTTGGCATGAAACAGAGAAGTTCAGCAGCCAAATAGTGCGCTGAGTTATTGCTCATCAAAAAGAAAATCTCCCAGAAAATGAACTGGTATAATGTGGGCCTTCTATGCCGCACCCACCAACAATTTCTTGGGTTTGTCTAAAAATAAGGTAACCCATTCCATCCAGGGGTTGAAAGTTGAAAACATCATCTTCCTATTAGCAACAAAAATAACATGGTAACATGGCCATATATTGAGTGTAAATTCACTATTTTAACCAAGTCCACATCATGTGGTTGGTGAGTAAACATCATATCCCATTCAATGGTTCTATTTCAATAATCAGGATTTCCCAGTTGTTTGACTATGATATCCCTGTTTTGCTCGTGAAATCCCCGATTAAAACACCTCACCCACCCTCCACCTGCGTCACGTGCGGCCGGGCTTCCTCCACCAGCTCCTGGCCCCAAAATCTTGGGCAGAAAATGTATGGGGCTTGTGCGGCTGTGCCAATCCGAGATATTTTGGTCGTTTGCTGATAAACATCATTAAACATCCATATCAGGCCATATGTCCATACGATGCAACATCTCGCGACGCGATCTTCACTGGAGGTCATTTCAATATATTTCAATCATGTCATCTGACAACCTGTCAGGATATGTCAGGATCGTCTCCAGTAACTTTCGACCATCCCAATCTTGCGAACAGGTCAGGGAAAAAATTGAAGAACATAACTTGTCAAGAAAAATGAAAAACAATGTTCAACACCTTCACAAGGGACATTTCAGTACCTTTACGGAATCAGATGTTGGGATAAAAACAAATTTGAGTAAACCTTGGTTCAATCACCCAAAAAAGAATCGCCCAAAGGCCCAAAGGTGCAAAGTAAACATGTTGATCGAAATATGGTCTACTGTAGTGCGGAATCCAACATGCAATCCGAACCTGAGGGTTGTCAATCCATCTAACTTCCTATTACTTGTGGTAAAGTCCACTCTTCAGTGTTGTTTCTCACATCAGCCATCCACCATGCGCCAAGTCATACCCACTATGCATTGGTTGCCTCACCATGTGAAAATCCCAGTTTATCCAGGTCAAATCTCAAGAATTCTGTTTGGGCTGAGCTATTGTCATGATACGTTTATTGGTTTCTTCAATGTCTCCATGTTTGCATGTTGGCCAAAGCCCACTGAAACTCCAATGGTATGGACATTTGGCTAGTGACGGCCAGTGATAGGGATCCCATCACGGGAGAAGTGCGCCTCACCGTATGATTGGCCATCAGCTTCAGTGGCAGCCATGGCACGGAGTCGGAATGGTCGTCGGCCTTTCAGGCAAGGCACAGCTGATGACCGTAAGTCCTACATTGAGTAGGGCCACATAGGGCCACCAAGCTACACCAAAACTGGGATTTCACGATCAACACGAGGCATCAAATGTGAGGCACTGTAAATGAACTCGGCGTTACAATCCAACTTTGCAGTGTTTCAATGTGTTTCAAGGGTTTTTGGGATCGGCAAGCAATTCTGTTGGAACATCTCCTAGACATTTCACTGTGGGACCACGATTCACTGAGCTCATTTTTTTCTATCCGATCTTTTATAATAACTTTGCCGGTCGATTCTTTGCCCATGGAGCATCAGGGTGAAGCGCTTTGCGCTTTTGGTTGTGCTGGCAGCAACGAGTTTTCTGCCTGCGAGCCTTCTTTGAAGGCGGAAGGTCTTTTGCCTTCTCCAAAACCCTAGGATGTTCCCAAAATGCCTGCGCTGCCGACTCTTCGGCTTCTTTCTGGGTGCTACGCTTCCGTCCTGTGAATTCTGCTCTCACAAGGCCGCCCAGAGCTGTTTGAGATTCGCGGCTGATTTTCAGTACTGACTGAAACCTGCCCTTATCATCGGTTGCCGTCTCGTAGGTTGCGAATGCAGGCTGGTCGGTTTTCCAATGAAGCAGCCGCCTGCAAGTTCTGTGGGCGAATGTCGGCGACACGTTTCTGATTTGAGATTTCGGATTTGGTATTCAGTCATTAAGTAAATATATAAATATAAATTCAGTGCTATCTCTTGAAATGCTATGTTATCTTATCTCTGGTTTGTGCTCAGCCGCCTCAAAAAATCTCCAGTGCCGCGCTTGAAGTCCTTCTCATAGTTTCGGATGTCAAAGCCTGTCAAAACAGGACCACGTATTCGAACTGGTCCTGACTTCTTCGGAGCCTTACTGGAAGACCTCGGTGTCTCGGACACCAGCAACATCCATTTCGAAAAAGCTTGCAAAATGTGTAAACAACCTGCAAAATACACAGTACTCCACAGATAATGGCAAACGTGAAAAGAGATGAATATGTCTATGTGATGAAATGATGAGAAGAGGACAATGACAAGGCATATAGCGACGATGAAAGAGAGGTTGCAAGAAATTCCACACAGGCCAGAGATTCGTGTCCAGAAAAAAAAAAGAACAACACCCCCTGGCACATGGCTTTGAAGTTTTTCCCGGCACACCCAAGAAAAAGGGTGGTTTTGTTATCTCTACTTCTCAGACTAATCAAGCTATTCAAATGCTCGGAGTCTGAGGGTAGAACGCCGTCTGCCTTCCTCTGCTGGCGCTTCGTCTTCGGCTCCTGCTTCGCCTTCGGCTCCTGCTTCGACTTCTACTGGAGCTGCCTCTGGAGCTTGAGGAAGAACTTGAAGATGGTGCCCTCTGTGCTCGCTCCGCTCTCTTCTTCTCTGAAGGAGCTGGGCTCTGCGGCCCCATTCTTGGCGTTGCTTCCGAGAGCTGCTGTTCGTTCATGGCAGGGCAGAACAGCAGCTGTTGCGAAAGTCTGAACGCCGGGTCAAAAACATACATTCCCAATATGTCTGTGCGTGTATGTGCCGTTTTGCTGCATGCCAATGGGCCTATCGACTCAAGTTGAAAATTGATTTTGTCACATGTTGTCTGTGTTTAACTCTCACTGAAACTTAGTCACCGCCAGGAACTTTCAAAAGCAGCAGGACACTGGTTTATGAGCGATGCGGCACAGGACAATCAGCAAATTTGGAACAAGATGAACATGACAGCAACTTTACATTTCGTAGTTTCCCTGGCCAGGTGGAATCGCAGTCAAACCAGAGGGTGGAGCAGTTACTTGTCTGAATTTCATGGACAAAATAGTTGATATATGTTGATACCTCCTCCTTTTATGCATTTCAGTTGGCCCCGAAACTAGCCACTGAATCATTCAAACTTTGAACACCCTAGGCTGTCAGCGCAACTTCTTCACACCACATGGCAGCAAACAGAACTCCAGTTTAGCTTAGCAAGGACTTGGCAAAGATGAAGGAGTGGGCCCAGAAGTTTGAGCTATATTGCTTCAAAGCAGGCCAGAGATAACAGTTCTCAAGAAGAAAAATCTCATTGACTTTAGTCCTGCTGTAAATATGTAGTACATGTTAAGATCAATCCATAAATCTACAAAAGTTTGGGTCCCCCAATCGTGCCCTGACAGGCATCGCTCGACTACAAGTACATCAATGACCGCTATCACAAGGGAAAAGCGGCCATTGGGACCTTCATGTCGGAAAAGCACCAGATCCTCCGAGTTTCTTCCTTGCTTTTGGCACATTCTACGATTGTCTAGCAGTATTATACTTAGCCATAGCTATTTGCAAATGATTAGCCATTCTCAGCCATACCTATTTTGTATTTGGTTGCTTTGATCTGGTAGCAAAGGTTGACCATCCTTGTGGGTGATTGCACACTGTGGCCGAGCCACTGAGATGAAATTCATTCTCAAATTTGTGTGTGACCGCAACTTGGATGGGAGCAAAATTGACAACTGTCATTGTGATCGCATCCCAAAACTTCTCAAGGATTGCTGGCTGTGGACAAGGCAGTGACACTCGCAGAATGAAAACTTCATAGCTGACCAATTATTCCCTCAGCAGATACTCAGATACTTAATGAATGTATTAGAATTTATGTGGATCAAGAATTGTCAAATAAACTCAAATACCACCGTGGTCCATTGCATCCCACATGCCACCCAGGGTCAGGTCTCCGTCCGCTGCGAAGCCACCACCATCCATAGTACTAGACCGAACATCTCTCACCTTCGTTTGTTGTTGGATCATGGGTATCTGCAGCATCCCATCTTCGTGGCCACAGCCATCGTTCAACAGCTTACTCCAAAATCATCCACGGCATTCCACGGCCATTGATGCAGTTTCAAGAAAGATTCTGACACTAAGAGCGAAACAAAATCCCGAATGTTTAAACAATCCAAGGAACTGTCAGGCGAGATCTTGTCAAAGTGAATGACCCCTCGCTGAAAAAGGTGCCACCAGATGGTGGAGTTTGGATCCGATGGAGCTTCATGCCACGCTTCGACGTGAGCATCTGCAAAGTTCACAGTCCTCAGTTGAATTCTTCATAGTCTCACATGGCACCCTCAACTCTGCATGAAATAAATCCGAACTACCCCATTCTGCGTGTGTCTTTTTGCAGCATGCTATGAGAAACTGTTTGTAGTGCAATAATTTAAAAAAAACAACCACAAATAATTTTGGACTCGCTATCTAGAGCTCCTGGTGCAGGCAAGGTTCTTGGCTGCCAGGCGGAGAGAAGTCATCTGAATTTGCCTTGGGAGCTGCGCGAAGTTTCTGCACCGATTAATGATATCCATGGAATCCAACGTGTCAAGGGTCAAACTACATCCGTTGAAGGAACTTTTGGAAGATTCTCTTGAAGAACAACGAAGCTTGCCAAGCACTTCTAGACGACCAAGCAAGTCTGTGACCAAACTTGGCTCAGAACCATCATGGAATCAGAATGAATCAGACATGATTTCCTCTAAGGCACCCGGTGATGCGTAGCTCCCCTGATGTCAAGGTCAGAATCCCGGCAGTCGCTGGGCGCAGCTGCGACGGCGCCCCATGCGGCCCTTGCAGCTCGCAGAGTGGCGCTTCGGCAGTGGGCCTCGGTTTTTCGCGGGACTCAGAAGTTTCTGCAGGGTTTGAATGAAGTATGAGTATGTTTCAATTTTCATTGTGAAAAATATTTGACGTCTCTGAGGTCCTTAGAAAAGGTCATAAAGTTGCAATACCCGACAAGTTTCGGAAGAATGGGAAAGGAGCGCAACTGACACCTCTGCTTTGGCCCAAACTTTTCCAACCGTATCCAACCCACAACCAACACGCAAGCATCGCATTCTTCAGATTCCCTGTGACCAAGCCACTGGAGTTGAAAGCACGACCCGGCCGTCAATTTCTTTTGTTCACAAAGCTCGGCCCAGCCAATCACCTCACAGTCCTGCCAGCAGGGACCGCACAGTTCGGTGATATTTGGGTCTTGGAAATTCCAAGAAGGTAACTGGGAAAAACCAACCAGACACAACAGAACATCGACTTTCTGTGAAACCCCACGCCCCACCTGCAGATGTCTGGAGCCCGCTTCAGCTGCTGGTTGGGGTACAGGGTGGCTACCTTGCAGTGCGGCAAAGCGAATCCAACAGTCCAAACAGAAAGCTGAAAAGATTGTTGGGCCTCACCCGGCACCAAATCTGTTTAACTTGAACACATCGCATCTACCAATTCTGGGAGTTAGAGATGCGAGTTGCCACTTCAGCTGATGGCCATCTGGCTAACTTACGGCAAAGGATGGCAAAGACCCCAAAGTAGACACTGTGGCAATGCAAAACATCTAGTAGATGCCTGTTGTAGCTACCCATGTCACGACTTGTTGAAACGGCCTGACCAATGCACCCCCAGCAAACCCCGAAACCGCAGCCGAGGCGCTTTGTTGTCCCTTCGTGCTCTGCCTCGAGACACGCAGCTCAGCAGGACAAAGAATGACGAAAATCGTTGCGAGGAACCACTGCATCATGCGCCAAGTCATGGTGTATGAGGCATCAGGCGTTGTGCTCACGATACATGTTGAATGATGATAAACGCTGCATCCTATTGAGGACTCTGTCATAGACCATGTCCATGTGCCCATGGGTCTGATTCAGCTATAATGTACACAAGGAAACATTGATGCCAGGGGGTAAAACCAAGCACTTGCGAGTTACAAACCATGGGTATCATCCAGTTGTCCAGAAGTTCATGAGCAGAGAGCAGACCTACTAAACTGAAGTTTCGAAACATTGCGCCGCGAGTCGCATGCACATGACAACCACAACAGCCCCTGGAGGATGGGGGAAGGCAACGGTTACCATTACAAAAATGATACATAAGGCATTCTGCCCAAGACCGCCCTCACAACCATTGGTAAAACACATTTAAAAAAAATTAAAGGCCGGATAACCCCACAAATCAACTTCTTCCAATAATGAGCAACACATGTTGTAGCAAACACGGGGAAGGAAGGAAAGACAAAGGAGGTGATGGAAGATCGAGATGTAAAACAAGTTGTATGTGAAGAGTTGTGTGTGACAAAGTTGCACATGAAAGATGGTGTGTTGCAAAGAAAGGGCCCTTTTGCACGAAGCGAACGAAAGATCGGCTCTACAGCAATCTTCACACGCAAGTGTCACACGCGAATGTCACAAGCATTGCCAAGTCCCCAATGTCACCAAAAAAATTTTACATGACAATAAGAAATGAAACGTTGCATCAACCCATGCTCTAAACGGTGTAAACAACATTATCTCCAACAGAAAAGGTTTGACAACATCGCACGGCCGAAACTAGTGCGCGCTCGTTGCTGGCGAAGATTTTTTTCACGGCAACTGTCAATTTTCACAGGAAACTGTTTCGTTTGCGGTATAAGTTTGCCCTTGTGTTTTATTATTGCGCAAGTTCCAAAACAGAAAAAAAACACATGGAATCCAGTTCTTCCAAATTGATGTTGCTGGCCTTTTTTTTCCCACTGTGCGCCGTGCACTGTTTTTGGTGCATGCGTGTCCTGTGCTAACATCCTGGCTGGGAAAAAATAGGATTATGGATTCCCTTAAACGATTTTTTTTTCAAATAAGAAAATTTTAAAATTCAAAAACGGCTGGGAGAAGATAGGATTTGGGATTTCCTTATTTGTTTTTTTTCAACTAAAAAATTTAGATTTTTGTTTTGATTATGGATTTATATGATTTTTTTAAACGATTTTTTTCAAATAAACAAATTTGAAAAGTCAAAAAAGGCTAGGAAAAGATAGGATTGTAAATTCCCTTAAACGATTTTTTTTTCAAATAAGAAAATTTTAAAAATCAAAAAAGGCTGGGGGAAGATAGGGGGATTCCCTTATTTGATGTTGTTTTCAAATAACATAATTTGAAAATTATTAAAAACATAGTTTTTTTATGAATTTTTTAAACGATTTTTTTCTCAAATAAGCAAATTTGAATCTTCAAAAAAGGCTAGGAGATGATGGGATTGTGGATTCCCTTATTATGCCCTTATTTGATTTTTTTTCAAATAAGAACTTTGAAAAAATCCAGGATTTTTATATGAACAAATTTGAAAAATTCAAAAAAAACTAGGAGAACATAGGATTGTAGATTCCCTTAAACGATTTTTTTCAAATAAGAAATTTTAAAATTCAAAAAAAAACTGGGGGAAGATAGGAGGATTCCCTTATTCGATTTTTTTTCAAATAAGAAAATTTGAAAATTAAAAAACGGCTGGGAGAAGATAGGATTACGGATTTCCTTAAACGATTTTTTTCAAATTGATTATAATTGGTTTGTGTCCCCCACAATCTGTTTTTTTGATCAAAAACACAAAAAAAAACAAAATCCAGGGACACAAGCGACAATAAAAATCAATTAAACTTATTTG